CTGCCTCAGGACCCTCGCATTGGTGGTTCCCTCCTTCTAGGTCTTCTTTTCCTGGATATCTGCCTATCACATTTCCTCACTCCTTTCATGGTTTTAATCAAATGTCACTATCTCTGGGCTGTCTTCTCTGTCAACCAATATAAAATGGCAGCCTCTTCCCATGACGCCTAGCGCTCAATGTATGCTTTCTTCTTTCTTTCCCTTGGCATTTATCCCTCTTTAATATATCATGTGTTTTACTTTCGTATTTTATCCCCCGTTTGCCTCTTCAACTAGATTGTGAGTTCAAAGAGGGTAGGCATTCAGGTCACTTTTGTTTATTTCTGTATCCCCAGTTCTAGTAATAATATCTGACATATTAAAGCTTCCCAATAAATATTTTCTTAAAAGTGATTTTTACCACTTTTACTTCCATTTGCCAGAATGAGAGACTGGACATATTCCTTGTCACAGTTGTTTTTTAATTATTTATTTATTTATTTATTTATTTATTTATCTCAACTAAGACATAATGTAGGTAGTTTCTACCACCTTTTCCTCCCCTGTTTGTGTATGAGATGCTCAGAAGTGATACATCTGTCTGTCCCACTCTTCTGCCTTGAAAGGTCTGCCCTAACTTGGACAAATTGTTTAGATTTTATTAGTGAACACTCAATTTTTTTTTTATCTATAGAAATAATATTTCTTTGGGCTGTCTCCATGTCCTGGTGGTTAAGCCAGCAGATCCCACGTGGCCAACCATTCAGTTCAAGTCTCAGACTCAGCAGGGCACATGTGTGTGTACCCTAAATTCCTAAAGCAGGGAGATATCAAAGAGAAGAGATTGTGGCATGACCATTTCCCATTGGGAGTGCTTTTTCACTTTCCTCCTCTTCCTCCTGGCAAGCACACATGCCCTTTAGCAAAGAAACAAACAAACAACAAATACCAAAGCAAAAAAATTTTTTTTTCTTTTATTCCTATAGTCTTATAGTTGGAATAAATTGAAGGTTCAGTTCTCTTCATCAAAGAGAATGTTCTGGCTTGTTCAACATAGCTATTTCCCAATCACAACATGGTATCTGGATATCCTGTCTCCCCAGATAACTGCTAGCCCGTTAATGATAGCCTGGGTAGTACAAAGCAGATGCTTTTAGAACATGTTTGAGGTGGGACTTTGCAGTTCCTTAGGATTTCAGCTAAGGACTACAGCAGGCTTGGTGGCTTCAAGAGTCTATTCTGTACATGGACTAGTTTGAGAGTCAGATGATTAAATGGTCTGCATGCATAAATGTGTGAGCATGTACAGATGTGCTGGCATTGCAGATGGAGCAGTCCTTGGGACCCACAATGTTCCGAGGTACAAAGAGAACCGAAGCATATACAATTGTTAGGACTTTCTCATAAGATCTGTGCCTTTCAAAGTGAAAGTGTAACAGACAAATATACCACTTCTTAGCTGCTCATATAGAAGACAGGATGAGAAGATGGTAGAAAATACCTAGATTGTGTCTCAGTGGAGAGAAAATAAAACCCTTGTGACAGAAAGTATGCCCAATCTCTCATACTTGCAACTGGAAGTAACAGTGATAAAAATTACTTTGTTCTCACTATGTCTGCTTATTACACTTAAACTCCTAGGCACTGCCAGTTTGTCTGATTATACCCTCTGAAAGTCACTTGCAATAATTCTCTTGCTAATATTCTAAATAAATATTGGACTAGAGACAAATACGGTAATTGTAGCATACAAACTTTTATCTGTATTATCTATATTACCTACATTATTAAGTAAACAAAATGGACCATCTTTTTCAGAGTCCTGAAAACTTCAGGGTCAAATTAGTCATAGAGAAGAATATCCTTTTTAATTGTCTTACAATCAGAAACAAAATAATCAAAGGTTAAAAGATTATAAACAAGCAATTGGTTGATTGTCTTTCATGAAATCCTTTTCTTTCTTTCTTTTTTTTCTTTTCTTTCTTTCTTTGTCTAAATTTGTCAGAGAGCCTATGCATGTGTTAAGAAAACAAGCAAACAAACAAAAAACCCTTTATGGGACATGGTCACTCTGCAATCCCTTCTCCATTTATCCCTGCTGTTAGGATTTTGGGTACACACACACTTGCACCCATCATGTTTTTTATGTTCCTGGAACTCAAACTGTGTAGCTGGCCCTCTGAGATCCAGCTGCCTTACCACCAGGCCATGGGCTGGTCTCTTCCTTACATCTTTATTTGAGTAGGTTTTATTCTCACTTCCTCTTCTCACACGTCCCATCTCTCAGTAAGATAAGACAAACAGAGGACTGACATCTTTTGTAAGAATCTACCCTGAGTGGATGGAGCGTGATGTAGTAGAGGTTTTTTGGTATCTTTGCTTTTCCTTTAAAGGGCAGTTACTGGAACCATGGAGAGATACTAGAGACATTGGTAGTTAGGTTTGTTAAATTTGTCCTAGAGTTATCTGTTGATAAGTTGTTAAGGCCTTATGGTGTCAAGAGAATTCAAACTCCTGAGTTTGTAGAGAGTTCGAACTCCTGAGAATTGGAGTGCCACTATTGATAAACTAAACCTGGTGATGACTTTTAAAACAGATGTACTTTGAGAGCTGCTTTCCACCATGGAGGGAGGGGAACGGAAGTATCTTGAAGGAGTATCATCTTTCCTTTGGTGTCCTGGGAGCTTCTGTTCTTATCTTATTCTTCCTGTGTTCCTTTCTTCAAGCACCTCACTCTCCTAGGTTACTCTCTGTCATCCCAGAGCTCTTGTCTCCCACATCAGTTCTGAAGTTTAGCAGAGGAGAGACCTTCTGAAACAGAAAGGGGAAAATGCCATTAACCCTTCGGTCCTGTGGATTTCTCTGCCAGCTTGGAGCTGTAGGAGTGTGGGCTTGAGTATTGCATGGCTTATGGAAAACCATGTCATAAAATACCTTCCCATTTTTTTGCCATGCTGTGAAAATGTTTAAGAACTCTTTGTCAGAGAAATGTCTGTGCTAGTTACTTGATGATGATCCTCAGCAGTAACCATGTGGCTTAGCATCTTAAGCACTGGGGTATGACGTGAAACCGTGAAACTGTGCTTTAATGTTCGAGAGTTCATCTTCTATTATTGATGTCAGCTAAGCCACCATCCATAAAATGTGAATAATAAACTGAACCACTCTGGAAGGTAAAGAGCAGTAATAAATTCTTCTATCATTCTAAAGTGATATAAACATACAATAAATTATAGTAGAAACCAAAGTGGAAAGAATACATTCTGCATACTTAGGAAGGTGGCTGTGTTCAATCTTTCAGATTACTTTGGAAACCATTGGTTTGGCAGTTAATCCTTTGGGCGTAGGTATGTGTATGTTTGTATCATTTTAAGCCAGGAGTTCCTGCACTTTTCACTGTCAATATCCTCTCATCTTGCCCTTCTACACAAACGTTTATATATTTAAAAGTTGTATTAACTCCAAATGTATTTACTAACAACAAAAAATTCATTCCTTCATCGATAATCATTTTCAGAACTTCTGGCTCTCAGGTAATAGTTGCTATTATTCTGTCTGTTAAGGCAGAGAAGCATTTTTTGTTGATTACTGTATACTAATTGTGAGTAATTTTATGATCTTGATGAAATAGTCATGAAGCATAAGCATCCTCCCTTTTAGTTTTTGGGCTTTCTAGAAACCCAGAAACAGCAGACTGAAGACAACTTTATAAAGTGTTATTAAATTGTGCATTACCTGCAGGGCCTGTAGACAAATGAGGTTCTTAGAAAATTAGGGTATTTTTCCTATCTGCTTTGTAATTTGCCAGAGAGTATGTGTACTTGCCAGAGACGGGGAAAAGGAAAGTGAGAAAGAACCCATCCATGGGCAATAGTCACACCATAATCATTTTTCCTCCGTTTCTCCTTTTCAGGATTCTGGGCACATATACACATGTGACTGGTATATTTTCCCAGCACTGGCCCAAGACTTCAACCAAGCCGTCAGCCATGTGAGATCCAGCTACCTTAAAAACTATGTCGCACACTGGTCCTATGGCATGTGTGCTCACTAGGGAGATACAGAGAGAGAGAATGAAAGGGAAAGTGAGAAATCACTCCCCTAGCGAAGATGGCTACATGACAGTCCCTTCTGCTCCACTCCCCTGTTAGGATTTTGGGCATGCATACACACTCTCCTGGTATGACTTTCAAGCTGGCATGTCTGGGACTTGAACCATAATTGACCATGCGGGAGTGCAGTGCTATAACCATCACACCACCTACTGGCCCTATATTTTTATGTACATATAGTTTTAAATCTTTGGGTTACTTAGGTCAGAAAAGGTTACATAGCTATGTTGTACACAGCTGTAATTAACAATGATAAATAAAAATAACTACATGAATCAAGAGAGAGGATCGTTTCTAGTGTCTCTTAGCTTTTAATATGTGTTGTAAAACGGTCACAGTCACATAATTTTACATTTGTCATGCCTGCTTAACCACAATCAAGAATACCAGAATGGTCTTTCTGTTCTTTAAAAGAAACACCACTATGTGAATTATTTTTAATGTATATTTTTAGATTTAAAACTGCAGACATGCTATAAGTTTCTGCATTGTTTTCAGTTTTAGAGAATTCATTTTTGGGACTAGCAGTTATCATAATGGCTATGTTGCTGGACTCTCATGTAGTCAACTACGGTTTGAGTCCCAGACTCAGTGACTTAAACTCACGCTGGGTGAGTGTGCATGCGTGCCCAAGATCCAGAGAGTAGAATGGAGGAGAAGGGATTGCGGCCTGGTGATTTCTCGCTTTCTGTCTCTCTCTCTCCCACTGTCTTTTTGGTGAGGGGATGTGCCCTATAGCAAAATAAAACAAAAAAAACTCTAAAAAAAGAATTCATTTTTGTTATTCATTTATTCCTAATGAAAATAACTTACATGACAGACTAGGATGGGGGAGAGTGTGCATGCACTAAAGAAGCATCATGACCCCAAGTTGAAACATAAAGTGATAAATAATCATTCTTTCTCCAGAAACAGGATCCCCAATTACAGCATCATGCATTGGATTAGGTAATTCTAAAACACCTCCCCCAGGACAAGCAGGAAAATGTGTTCCAGGATATAATGGTAAGAAATGACCCTGATTATTTGAAATATGTAATGTTAATACATGTGGTATTTCTGTGTAGCTACTATGCATCATATTACATGAAGCATACTTAGTGCTTAACAAATATTTGCTTGAATTAACACCGTGTTTAAAAATTACTGACTTAATTTTTGCTATCAAAAGATTGTGAACTTCCAGAGATAGTGTCTAAATGGCTGTCATAACCAAGAAAATATTATTAAAGCATATTAAAGATGTTAATGTGAAATTTTTGCATGTGCAATACTTGTTAGGTGCTTAGCACTTCACGTATATCATTTCATTTAACACGGAAGTATTTTAGCTCAGAGATAATATTACCATTTTAGCAACGAGTTAACCTATGACCAGAGAGTTTAAGTACCTTTCCTAAGGTAACACAGCTGGTTAGATTCTGAGGACGATGTATACCATTGCTACATTTTCTTTCTTTTGTTTCAAAAGCTGCAAGTTTTTCCATTACATGTATACATTTTTAAATTTGAGAATAGTAACAAGGCAGTTGGACATCAGTTAGCTAAAAATACAGAGTAAGGATTCTAAGATAAAATATTTCTTAGATGCTAACTTTATCTGACAAAGAGATATCCTTTCAATATTTGTTTTTAAATTTATGTTTGTGATTATAATAGTTCAATGGTTTCCTTTGCTTTCCACTCCCAACTTTCTAAACATTTACTTGTCTTACTTATAAATAGGAAAAGTATTTTTGCATGCTTTCCAGGGCCATTGTGCTGTGATGTTACACAGTGAAGCATTAATATGGTGCCTATCATCAGAAAGACTAAGTTAAGTGTTGGCTAATAGTGCTGCTGATATTTCACCCAAGTCGGAGGCACTGACTTCAAGACTCAAAACCACTTAACGTACAAGGAAAATGAGGAAAAGAGGTTAGGGAATTTGCATAAGGTCACACAATTTAGCTTAATAGGTTTATGAATAAAATCTACCATTGGGGAACAGAATATGACTCCTAACTTTTGTTTCCTATTGGCATACAAATTGTAAAATTTAGAAATATTTCTTGCTCTAACACAAAAATATTGTATTTTGTCTCTAGGACAGTAACTAGTTAAAAAAAAAATACCATTAGGTTTAACCTAGCAAATATTTTTATAAAAAGATATTTTATTATTCAGAGCAGAAATAGGTATTCTGTGAAATCAGTGACTTTTCCAGCCATGGAAAGGTAAACTCTGATTTACTGAATTCTTCCATTTGAGCAGTTCTTTCATCCCTGCTCCTTTTATCAGGAAAAAATTGCTCTTGCATTGAGATGTTTTTAGGAATTACAGATTGTGGGAGATGTTAAACACATTTCCCTTTCAGTATTTCAGTACCATTTTTATATCCAGTTGTAAGAAAAAGTGAAGCTTTGATGTTTCGTGGAACTTCTATATGGAATCTTTTGCTGTCTGAAAGCTATCAGCTTGCAGACAGCACAAGTTACTGTTTTTGTGTGTGTGTGTGTGTGTGTTTTGTGGTTATTCAGAAATTCAAATGCATAATGTAGTATTCAACAATATAATGGAAAGCAGGTCCTTTTGAGAAAGGAAAGAAAATCTTTTTTTTTTTAATGAAAGATATTCAATGTAATATGACAATGTTACACTCATTGAATACCTTTTGCAAGCTTGTCCGTGTACACATGTATGGTTTTTTTTTCCATTTGTACCAACAAAATGAGAAAGGAATTTCTCCCATTTTGTAGACAGAGAATGGAAAGTGTAAGAGAATGTGCCCAGGAGCACATAATTATTTGGTGACTGGCTTGGGATTTGTGGAAACAGAGTTGAATTGGGCATGGTCTCCACCTTTGATGAACTCACAATTTAGTAAGATACAGATAAACCTCTCCTAAATAAGTGTCAATTAGTGTTTCAAAATGAAGTGCTCCAGGAACACAAAAATGGGATTTTTTTTTTCCCTGGGAACAACGTCCATTTCTTCTCATAGCTGCTTACTGTAGGATTACCTGGATGAATGAAGACACATAAAGAGTATCTATTAAAGTCTATAAAATGGATCTATTTTCATTTTCAGTTTGGACTAAGAGTTATTGAATGTAGATACAAACTTTGATCTCCTAAATTCTTTTATAATGTTATCAGTATAGCACAGAAAGCATTGGGGTAATATTTGGGAAGATTAAATTGACCTAATTTAAAGCTCATAACTTAATATAAGCCTTTAATCAAAATAAATAGTTCTTTGTGCTTTTAAAAGCTTTATTTTTATTGCTTACAGTACTTTTGGTATAATTTAACAGCTGTTTCCTTTAATTTTGGAAAACCATAATATAGTTTTAATGTTTTTAATAGACCAGAAGAATATTTTAAATGTACTTAAGGTTATGGAATTATCAGCATGTTCTAAATTTATTTTTAGTCTAAAAGAAAATTTGTGATTTTACTAGGATTTAAAGACATGTTCACCTTTTATTTTCTGTAAGATATTTTAACTAACATGTTTATAATCTCACAGAAATTAAGGTTACTTTTAAAGTTAGAGTTTTTAGGCTTGAATATAGAAAATATGGAATGACATTTAAGGTTATGTATTCTTATTCAAATTTTTATTAATTTATATATTTACATTCTACTTTTTAGTTATGATTTTGGATGACAACATGCAAAAACTGAAGGCTCGGTGTTTAGGAAATATTGTGGTAAAGTAAGCAAAATTTTGAGTACTATTATTTAAAGGGCAAAAATGGTGTGCGATTTAAAAAAAAAAAGAATTATCACTGTGAAATGATCACCGTGAAATTACTAGTGAGAAGGTTGCAGAATAAGCTCGTGTATTTGAGAATTGTGTCAATTCTATTGAAATTCAATGTGAAACCTATGTAAAATTTAATAATTGATACAGTTTTCATTAATGCCTTTGATTAACATGCTATTGGTATTTTTACTTATATGGTTTAAATAGGAGAATTTACTAGGATGAGCTGCTATAAATAAAGAATATTGTATGTCAGGTCTTAAAAAATATTTGTTTTCCCATTTATTTCTATTAGAAATTTAAAAACTTTGTATTATTTGGCATTATCAGATTCATGCAAGATTGCTTCCATTAGAAACATATTTTAAATTCATGCAAGTTATGTAAAAGCAATAGTAGAAAAAAACTCAAGGCTAGCCAAGGGGTGAAAGCAACTGATCCCACATGGCCGACTGTAGATCAAATCCAGGCAACGGAAGCTTGAAAGAATACTGGGCAGGGACCAGCAGTTAGCATAATGGCTATGTCGCTGGACTCCCACATAGTCGACCATGGTTCGCGTCCCAGACCTGGTGGCTTAAAACTCACACTGGGCGCGTGTGCATGCGTGCCAAAGATCCCGAGGGGAGAATAGAGGAGAAGGGATTGCGGTATAGCCATCCCCCCTGGGGGGTGATTTATCACTTTCTGTCTGTCTCTGTCTGGTGAGTGCACGTGCCCTATAGCAAAAACCTCTCCCAAAAAAAAAGAAAAAAAAAGAATACTGGGCATAGGTACCCATGGAGAAATGGAAGAGAAAGGATTGGGCTGTGACCATACTCCATTGGGAGGTACTTTTTCACCCCCTCTCTCCGTCTCTGTCCCTGTCTCTGTCCAGTGAGCACACATGCCCTCTGGCATTTAAAAAAATGTCCATTTCTTCGAGGCAGAAGTATTTTAGCTTTACTAAAAGCTAATGGGAGAAATATAAATTATAATGCTATTTTCTCATGTGCTTATGTTGTCAGTAAACATAAATACTCTATTACTTTCTTTAAAGTTTCAATTTTAAGACAACATATTCGAGATGGAAGAATTAAATATTGAATATACCATTTATTTTCATGTTTGTCCGAATCAGAATCTATATGAGCATAGAGCTGATGGAAGAACAAGGGGGAGGGCTTGCTAAAGAAATTAATAACGTGAATATAATTGTGGGTCGATGTTTGGCTTGCTTAAGGAAGTACATGGCTTTTGAGAGCTTTTAAAAGCACCCTAGCAAGCATTCAGTTTTATATAACCTCCTAACTATAAGTGAGTCATCTATTTCATAAAGCAACTCTTTCAAGATCCCAGAGGTGGCATTTGATGTTTTAAACCCCTCATGGGTTCTGTCACTCTAATTATGGGTGACTTCACCCCACAGCCATTCAGAGATAATGAAATATGTTGGTATTCCACATAAACTATAATTTCTTTGTATAGCCATTAGGGCTATTTCAAGTACTTGAAAGTTACACAACTATTGCCTTAGAACATTTTATGTTTAGGTTGTCACCAATTCAGAATGATTTTCCTCCCTCTGCATTCCTAAGTAGAACATTGTACTGTACTGGTCTAGGATTCTGAGATTTTATTATAAATTACTTGAGGGTACAATATACTATAACATGCAATAGAATGTGATTTCTCCTTTAGGTTAGCAGTGAGACTAAATATTTCAAAATATTATATATGTTATAATATGAGGAAAGTAAGGTTGGCCCCTCGAGGTGGTACAGTGACACCAAACTCAACTGCAATGTTGAAAGTCACATGGCCAATCACAGGATTCTCTGGTTTATTCAAAATACGCCAGGTGAATGCACACTTGTGCCCAGGATTCTAACAAGCTGGTGGACTAGGAAAGGGGGATTCAGCATAATGAGATTCTGTCAAGAGAGCTTCTCTCTCTCTCTCTCTCTCCCTCTCCCTCTCTCTCTAATGCATACATATGTGCTCTCTACCATTAAAATAATTTTTTGAGAGTTTTTTGTTATAGGATATATGTGCTCACCAGAAATAGAGACACAGAGAGATAGAAAGCGAGAAATCACCCCCTGGAGGGGATGGCCATTCTTCAGTCCCTTCTCTTCCATTCGCCTCTCAGGATCTTGGGCACACATGCACACTTGCCTGGCGTGAGTTTAAGCCACTGGGTCTGGGACTCGAACCACGATCGACTACATGGGAGTCCAGCTACATAGACATTATGCCAACTGCTGGTCCCTAAAATAATTTTTTTAGAGGGATTTTTGCTATAAGGTGCATGTGCTCAATGGAGAGACAGAGACCAAGAGATAGAAAGTGAGAAATCACTACCTGGGGGGAATAGCCATGCCACAATCCCTTCTCCTCCATTCTCTTCTCAGGATTTTGGCCACACATGCACATGTGCCTAGTGTGAGATTTAAGCTACTGGGTCTGGGACCCAAATCACAGTCAACTGTGGGAGTCCAGTGATGTAATCGTTATGCCATCTGTTGGTCCCCAAATAAAATTTTTTAAAAAGTAGAAGTAATCAGAAAAAAATAATCTTACCAGTGAAATATGTCTCTCTCTCTTTAATAGAAGAGTTCTTAGAACTTTTTTGTCTATGAGAGCAAACATTTTCTTTTGAGCCCCACCCCCACCCCAGCCAGTAGCCATTTCATTCCAACTCATCAACCTAAAAATTATTCATGCATCCCAATGTGTAGGATGTTTTCATATTTAACATCTGTGACTTGGACTTGTTTATGCAGGTCCATATGTAGAAATTGTGATATATAGAAACAAACAGAAAACAAAGAAAATATCTTTGCCCCCTTAGAATTTTCCATTTCCTTTGTTACGACATTCTGGAAATGACTCCTTGTTCTCCCAGGGACACTTTCATCAGAAAATAGACATTTTAGTGATTTCTAAACTACTGTAGGCCACAGGATATAATAAATGAGAATTCTACAGTTTCAGTGTTTTACTTGACTGCTTTAATTCATAGAATTTACTTTTCTAGTAGAAGGAAAAGTTTCATGTTCACATGGATGTTAGAAAATTCTTTTCATTTTGAAACCTAGTCTAGGCAGTTAATTTAGTGAGAAAGTTCTGGTCTCTGAATTGCTATGAATACAAAAGGTTCATGAATCTTAGAAGGTGCTCTTGTAATTGCATTCAGAGTTCCAGAGTACAGAAATAAAACTATGATTCAGTAATTTCCAGGCAACAGAGAGCAAGGCATGAAAGAAAATGTTAACTGCAATTGCCTTCCTTGGTCCCACAGTGTTCACGGTTATTAAAGCCGTAGGTCTCCAGCTCTTTCTCGCTGACAGGAATCCATTTTTCTCTGACCACATCCACAGCTGCTATTGGAAGTGTGACTTGCCCACCCCATGCTGTGTTCCCTTGACCCATGCCCTGCAGGCAGTGATGGGATATGTGGGAGCTCTGTGGAAATGTCCAAGTAGTTTTTACTTTAATGTCTGCCAATGTTTCCTTCTCTCCAGATGTTGAACTCTTGGCCCTTAATATGTTTGTTCACATTTTTATAGCTTTGCATGAGTGATTCCATCATGATGCTGCCATTTTGGAAAAGGGCCAGGACAGCTTCTTTTCATCAGGTTATCCTTGACATAAAATAAAAAATGTCATATAATTATCCTCTTCCTTTCTAAAACTCTCATATTCAGATTTTAGTGTGCTCTTCTATCAGATTTATAAAAACCCTATGAAATACAATGGAACAGATATTATCCTTAATTTAGACATGAGAAAAGTAAGCATTATTAGTTGTTATACAGCTAGGATTCACATTATCACCCGGTCTTTTGTCTTCCCTGAGAGAAAGAAATTATGGCCTAGTCAGACTTTTCTAAAGAGATAAAAAGTAACTTCACATGAAAATCTCAAGTATAACCTGAGGCCCAGGTAGGAAAGACTGGAAGAGCAACCTTGGAATTTAACCCCAGAATTCTCTAGGGAATATGAGTTATAGCTTCAATTTTTAAAAGAGTATATTTCTTTCTTCCATGAGCAAGTGAGAAAGAGAGATAGCATCCCCTACAGGGGCTTGACTTCCACCTTCTGTCAGCCCCAGGTTATGTGCATGCATGCGTACAAGGAGGTATCTGGACAGGAACCAGAACCTTACCATGTAGTCAGCCACATAGAGCGATGTATTTTACAGCTGTGTCACCGTCTGGACCTATGTCTTCAATTTGTTGCAGTTACCACGGTGATTCCTGATAGAGCAATGAATACCAACTATAGTTTATCTGGCACAGGAAGCATCGAGGGGGCTTATGTTTCAGATTTGTCAGGAATATGTCACCTTCTAGGGTGGCAGGCTTCCTTTTTTCTTTTTTTCAAGAGGTTTTTGCTACGGGGTTTGTGTGCTCGCCAGAAAGAGAGAGACAGAGAGATAGAAAGCAAGAAATTACCCCCCAGGGGGGATGGCCATGCCGGAATCTCTTCTCCTCCAGTCTCCTCTTGGGATCTTGGACACGCATGCACAGCGCCTGGTGTGAGTTTAAGCCACTGGGTCTGGGATGCGAACTGTGGTTGGGAGTTCAGTGACATAGCCATTACGCCAACTGCTGGTCCTAGGGTGACAGGCTTTCTCTTCCTGCCCTAGCAATTTAAGATGCCTCCCTCCTAAATGGGCTTCACTGCTGCCCCGGTTATTCCTCTTCCCCTTTAGGATAGTCTCTTTTGAGAAGGAAGCTGTCTAAGATGAACTTCAGGCTCACAGTTGGAAGAGTAGTGACAAAGGCCCCCATTTAACTGTTTAGAAAAAGTTGAGGAAAGTATCTCAGTGTGGTAGCATTTGATTTTGAATTTGAAGGAAGAGGATAGGAGCATTTTTAAAGAATTTTCATGTTTTTCTGTTCCTTTTGCCAATCCAATGTATTGTTTGTTATTATAACTACAGAAAACATACTTTTTCCTTA